GAAAAAATCTATTTCTACTAAGTCGACCAAGTTAAGTCGAAAAATGTCAACCATTTTGACACCGGTCAAACCCCTGCCAAACGGCAGCACTCATCTTTTCCAGTTTTCAATATTTTATAATGTCATTTGACATTTTTAACTTATATGTAAATTCTGAATTCAAAATTTGGAAAAAAATGACATCATTGTGGATTTCATTTGTAAGTGTCAAAATGTTTGAGTACTTTAATGATTTCATTATAGTACTAAGTACTATAATGACTGTACTATAATGACTAATGAAATAAAATCCTTTATACTAAAGCTACATACTTTAAAATGAAAATTGACATCTCTGTCAAAATCTGAAACCTGCATATAATGTTTTTTCATGCGTTATCATAAATAAGCCTAACTTAAATTGAAAAAGAACTAGATTTGATTCTTTTTTGAATTCAAGCTATTGACAGATTCTGACAGCTGTCAGAATGTAACGTGCATGAACTTTGTTTAATGTTTTATCACCAATAAACTACCTTAAAACGAGAAAGAACCAGATTAGAGTATTTTTTTCTACTAAAACAAATGACAGGTTTTGACAGTTCTGTCATTTTTTTTTTCAATTTTTGAATTCAGAAATTAAATACAAGTTAAAAATATCAAATGACATCATAAAATATTGAAAACTGGAAAAGATGAGTGCTGGCGTTTGGCAGGGTTTTGACAGGTGTCAAAATGATTGACATTTTTCGACTTAACTTGGTTGACTTACTAGAAATAGATTTTTTGTTCATCAAACTCTGTCATAGTTACTCTGCTTATGGATATAAGATTCCAATATTTGACAGCTAACCACGCCTCACCTGTCATATATACACGGTTGTACCCATGGTAAAAAATGTTGCTTACGGCATCCCCAATAATAATAATTTAAATTTCATCCAAATATCACGGGTAACCAATTTCCATTTAAATATTGTGGGGTCCTTTGAAATAAAAAATTTCCCGCCAAAACAATGCTTCCATGATGGCTACCTTTTTTGACGTCACGATTCTGTAAACAAACCTGTCAATAGGGAAAATGCAAGTTAAATAAAGTTTTCAAATGCAGTTCTTCACAATATTCTTCATCTATTGCGACAATTTTTACAAAAGCAAACTTTACCACAAAAAAAATCACTGCGTCCGCAAGAATTCGTTTACTGCGTTTGTTGTTTACAAAATCTTGACATCACGGACGCTGTCATATTGAAATTTCGCGCCAAACTCTTTGATTTGAATTTCAATAAATTTTTTTTTGTACAAAGTATAAATTAAAATCGAGATTAAAATGGAAAAAAAGAAAACTATGTAATATCTGATCACTAAAAGTATCTAAAAAAAAATAAATTAGGAAATATGAAAATTCCCTATTGGTAATATCTCTTAGACTCTTAGACAAAAAATACTATCAGGAAAATTTCAAATAAGTATCGGGGGATTGGAGCAGGAACCAAAATGATGCAATTTATGGAGTCACCCCGCCTCACCCATAGGGTTGCCACCTGTCCGGTTTTCACCCGGACTGTCCGGTTTTTCAAAGGTTTGTCTGGTGTCCGGACGCATGATGAAAATGTCCGGGAATATCTGGATAACTATATAATTAATAATAATTAATACTTGATATAAAATTTATAAAGGCGATTGCCGAACGCCGTAGGATATACCCAACTAATTTCTGAACGTTCCGTTCCTACTTCTTGAATGACGGGTGTGTCACGAACCATCTCCGGTTTCCAGTTAGCGACAGAAAAGAGGACTTTTTCTACCTAGGCAGAAAAGTTCGTTACTTCCCATTCAACAAACGTTATCAGCGCAATTGATAAACATAAAAAAGTAGATTATGCGCGAAGCTGTAACAAATTCGGAGAAAAAATGATATATGTTTCAGACGGCAAAAGATCAGATTTAATGCCTTGGCTGGTTTCCTCGCTTCGCTTTCGGCTATGGAACATTAGTTGCGGCATTATAATATATTATGTACTTTTCTGCCTAATAAAACAAATAATTATGTATGTATTGTGTCGTTCTCCCTGTTCACTTACAAGTGTCTCTGTTTTTTTTTTTTTTTTTTTAATTTTAAAATAGACCGTAACTACGAGAGGTAGCGTTTGAAATTGAAAACCTTTTTTAATTTCTGTCTAAAAATTCATTTTTTCTACTGACGTTTCATAATAGCAACTTTTCGATTGTCATTTCAGTTTTGAAACGACATTCTTTTAGGCACTGAGTGCGTGAAAGTTACTTTTAGGCACTCAGTGCGTAAAAGTGACTTTTGAATGCGTAAAAGTGACTTATGAGTGCGTAAAAGTAATTTTTAAGCACTAGTGCCTAAAAGTGTCATTCATTATTCAGAAATAAAAAACACACTAAACACATATTTGAATTTTGTTTTGTATTTATTATGAATATTGAAAATGGAATTACTGAATTGAACGTTTGGGTTACTCAAAACAGAACTTTGTGTTATTACCTACTTTCTAGGATTTTAATTATTGATGTCGAATTTTCAAAAGAAAATCGCATGAAAAGTGTCAGGTGGCAAGTAAAAGCAGGTAACAAAGATTTTGGGTGTAATCGACTTATTCAAATGAAATAAAATTGTATTTTTTTATTATAAAATGCCAGTAGAAAAAATATTGTATACAATACGTTACGAAACGATGTCTTTTAGTCACTCGACGTGTTGTCCAACTCGGCTTTGCCTCGTTGGACAATTTTCACGTCGCGTGCCTAAAAGACGCTCATTTCGTAACTTATTGTATAAATAGCTATTTTCTACGAGCGTGCGGAAAAATGTGCTTTTCCGCACACATTTTAGTTTGGAAAGTTTCACTTTTCCGCACTAAGCTGACACGCTTAAACAAATATCAGCATTGAGAATTATTGAACCAATAATGTTAATTATTGAATTATTTCGGTTTAAACTTAACTTTTCTTGTAAAGTTACAAACTAATGGTTACTTTATGCCTAAAAATTTCGAAAATTTCATAGTATGTATATCACATGTACAAATTATTGTTAAAAGTTCTCGATTTTCTTGTCTTCAAAATAAGGCAAATTATTATTCAGAATTAGTATTTTTTTTAAATAATAAATGAGTAAATAAGTTTTATTTTTAAAAGTAACCTATATTAAGAAAAAATTACTCTATTTGTTTTCAATACCAAGTGTTGCAAAAGGAATGTTAAATATTGGTGTTAAAATTTACATTAATGAGGTACGTTCCTTCTATCTATCTCGTAGAAAAAATAGTGTTTCTAACTCGTGCGGAAAGTCTCTTTTCCTCACTTGATTCCTTGCCGAACTCCGCTATCGTTTGGCAAACTGCAATCGCGTGCGGAAAAGTGGCACTTTTCGCACTAGTTAGGAAGTATACTATTACAGAAATGAGTGTAAATTATGCTACAAAAAAAAGTTAGCTTCGATTATGTACGGGTTTTCGGAAATCAAAAGGTGGCAACCCTACTCACCCATCAGGTTGGTAGGGGAGTGTATTTTGGCCTGAAGAAAGGATTCAATTATGTTGATCCTGATGAGTTGTTACTGCACGTAATTGAATTTGGTGGTATTTTAGATATTCCCCAAATAATCAAAGAATGTCTTCACTTAAGGGGATTGTCATCTTTTAAAATAGGCATATGTACTTACATTGGGAGAAATATTTTTTCTGAAAGAAAAATTATCATCACAGAGAAAACTGTAGAGCAGGCACTGATGGGTGTTAAAATTCTGGGGGTTTGGTTACATTGATCACTGGATAAGAAGTAAGACAATAACACAGGATGTTGCAGAAAAGATGTGCTCCTTAAAAAAGAGACAATAGAGTTGGGCCAGTCATTTAGTTAGACATGGCGAACAATACAGCCAAAAAGTGACTCAGAATAGAAACAAACCGTTATCCATGAGAGAGACAAAAAACGAGCAATGGATGATGATGATTACTGTTCTATTGTCTGTTTGGTTGCTAATTTCAGCAAAACGAGATTAGACTTGATGGATTCCAAACTGCAAAGAAAGTGCAATTTATCTTTGTATTGTTTAAGTACCTATACAATTTTTCATATCGCGGTCTTTTATCCAACTAGACTTTTGTTTTGAGAAACAAAAGAACTAATACAATGCTCATCTCAAACATGAGAATTATTTAATTATTAAAAGCAATATTGTAATGATGTAATTATTGATATTTCTCCCTCGGTTTCTCCTATGCCTCTCCAATATTTCATATTTCTCACAATATTTATAATTGTCTTTTGAGATGTCTTTTCATATGTAAATATCGAGGTATATATTTTTGACTTTTTGTAGGTATAGTGCTCTTCAAATTATATGGGCGACTTTTTTTCCCATTCAAATTATAGGAAATTCTATTGTGTCCTAAAATAAGCAAATAATATTTTTGCAGTTTTGGTAGGTAAAATCTGTTTTTTTTTTAAAGATAAAAGTCAAAGTGACATTATGTTGGCAATACAATGTAAAATTGTCAATGCTTTCAAATTTTTTATGTAGAAAAGGCTTGTGTTGCCAACAAAGTTACTAAATTTTTGACTTGGGGAATTATCTTAAAAAAAAAAAAAAAACAGACTTTACCTAGTTAAATACGAGGTTAAATTTGAATAACAACTAACAATTTTCTTCAAAATTGTTTATCTAAATAGGTCAAAACTACAAGTACAAATGAGAACAGGTCACTCACCATGATGAAGCACTGGCAAATTTTACAATTAATAATTCAAAAACAATAAAAAGGTAAACAAAGTCAAGCAAAATAATTTGAAAAAAAAAAATTAGCTATGCGCAGGTAGGCACTAAAAACTTTACCTTTTCTCTACCAAATTACCTATTCCTACAACCGAAAACTAATTGTAAATTGCCAATGCATATTTAAAACAAAAAAAGGGGGTTTGGCCAAATGGTTCCTACAAACAAACCCTAGAACAATGACACATCCCTTTAAATATAACTATCTCTATCTTACCTCACAAACAGGCGACATTTTCACCAGCTGATATTATCAAACACTGGACAAAAACAACATTTCCTTCACTAGTTTTTGATGGCTTGCAGCAAATTTATGTCCAATTGATTGTTCTATATATTCACAAAGAAAATACGCAACTTCGAGCCATTATCGGGCTAAAATTAGCCATCATTTTTAGCCAAAGCGCAGTTTCGTTTCTATACAAAAATTGTCCATCAGCTGACACTGACAACAACGAAATGTTTTGCAGCGTTTTGCAATTGAAAAATTGAAAAATCAAGGCCATTCCTCCTAGCTAAGATGCGCACATCCTATGTGTGGAGACATCTATCGATCCATCTCGTTATGTATGTTTATTTTGCTTCTAAGGGAAAAGATTGACCAAAATCCTACAAGTAGTATCGCACCATCTACCAATGTAACCTCAAACTAATACATTTATTCGTGGTCAGTGGTACTTATCCTGAGTCCTGAGCACAGTCCTGAGCATTGAAATAGTGAATGGCTAGAGGACCCAAAGGCCATTTATATTTAATAATGGTCTCAGAGGATGGAACAGTTTGTTTTTTGAAATGTTTTTTTCTTCTGTGATGTGTGATTGCACTGCATTGCAGAGCTTTTCCCTATTTCTGCCTTCATTTAATCAGGATATGGGATCTATACATGTATAGTGTAAAGCTGGATTTATACAGCAAATAAAATATTATTAATTTATCTTATGTTATCTTATTTTATTTTATTTGCTGTATAAATCCAGCTTAACTTTGGTTACACAAAATAAGTCATATCGTTGTCATATGAATCAAACATTTTCATACGCAAAATGTATCATCTGACTTTCCGCAACATTCATGTGTGGAAACTATTTTTACACGAGTTTCTACATGAAAAGTTCTCATTCTAAACTCTGATGGTTCTTCTTCTAATTTTTTTTTATGCGATTGTGGTTTACATCTAGGTGAAAATCGTCTCGAGAACCTGCCCTGCCATGTACAAGATTTCTCGGTTTATTTGTCGTTGGTTGCTGGGTTACGTTTTGAGGACCATTTTATACTTATTGTTTATCAATTTTTATCTGACACTTTCCGTATGAGGAGCGAGGGGTGAAGTATATGGAAAAAACAGGTGTGACGTCAGGTGAGCATTGGCGTTTTAATGTAGGGTGCCACACCAGCTCACATTCCTCTCGAATATCAGATTTAAAATCGACGGACTTTAGCTTAGCTTAGCAGGAAACTGTGGCCGGCGGTCTATTTTGCATTGTTTGAGAATCAATGGTTTGAGTCTCATCACTCTCATCTCAGGTATGGGATTCCCTTCTTGGGTACAAGGTACAAGTAGTCAACATATTCTTTATTCTGCAAAAGAAAGCAATTCGTTTTATAACAAACATTCGCCAAAGAGACTCTATTCTGGCGCGTTCGCCAGCATGTACAGAATCTAACTGGGTATCTAGAAAATAGTATATTGTTGTATTAGGAATAGAAGCTTTACTTTTTTGTGCTGAAGCAGTAGGTTTGCGAGCCGAACGTAGTGAGGCTTGCAATACTGCTGAAGCACAAAAAAGTGCTTCTACTCCGTATGCAACACACTATTTTTTCTCCAAATGCATGGAGTAAGCTGCTCGGAGGTAACTGAATGGTTGAGCGACAGTAAAAGTACGAGCGGCATTAAAAGTACTTTTGCTGCCGCTCCAGCGACACTAAAAGTACTTTTACTGCCGCTGCGGTTGCCTAGCAGCATATAAATTAAATTTCTACCACCTCGACAGGTCGACAGGTGTTAACCTGCTGGGGCGAGTTCAGGAATGACACACTCAGTGTGAGTGTGACACTGGTACGACGCACTAGCCGTTCATAAATGCTATAGGCACACCGAGTGCGCGCACTCTGTGCCGTTCAGAAAGTACTTTGGGCGCGCTCCAGGTGTCGCACCGGTAACACTATAATTTTTTGGTGTGGCTGCGGTGTGATTGTGTCTTCATGTCAACAATGTCAACCATTCCTCCCATAATCTCAATAATCCCACCAAATATAAACAAAACACAAATAAGAATTGAAGTTTTTCCTTCAAATTAAAAAAATGAACACCAACAAAAAAATAATCCTAGTCTATTACCTAGATTTTGTGGAATTTTTGAGAAGATGCTCGATTCGTCACACCAAGCGTTCAGAAATTCATACGAAAGTTGTCGCCTAAGAATTGTCATTTCAGTCACACCTATAAAATCGCACTCACACCCGGTGTGTTATTTCTGAACTCGCCCCTGGATTTGCCTACCAGCATAGAAATTAAATTTTTAACATCTTGACAGATGCTGACAAAGTGGAGTTTTTTTGACGTTTGGAGAAAATACTAATTTATTCGAGCGCGTTTATTCTGGACTCTACCCGAATAGATTGCGGATATATAAAGGCCGGTATTAGCACAGTTTATACCGTACCGATACAGCGTTGTAGGTACAACTCTCCATATTTTTTGAGGCCAAATTCTCCAACCAATAGGAGCATTTTGTCCCATATCTTGCGCATGCGCTCGATGAGTGAACAAATCTCTCAAATTAAAAAAGCAGTTCGGCATGTAAAGTGAACACCCCCTACCTTTTCGCTAAAATTTTTTTTTTTTTTAAATCAAGATAGCCATTTGGTGTATTTTGTTTATAGGAATTTGAAAACGTTTTTCGAAATTCAATTAGATTTTTCGTTAAAGCGCTGTGACGACAAAAGTAATTTTTTTAAATGGAATAATAATGGAATATTTAAAGCCATTTTTTAAACGCCCTTATTTTTCTCATTTCAAATATATATAGTTTGTTTACATTTATTTTAGTAATTTGCGATATATTCTCACTCAAAATTCAAATAAAAATAGCCGAAAAGGTATCAAGGTAAATCTAAATAACTTTACCTTTAATAAAATTACTGGTTATAGTGGTTATTATGTTTCATGATACCTTTTCAGCAATTTTTATGTGAATTTTAAAGTGAGAATATATTGCAAATTACTAAAATAAAGAAAAACAAACTATACCGGGTGCCCACGAGATCACTTTCCGGCTGCCATTTTTTTATTTATTTATCGATATCAACGAAACTTGGTAGAGTTGATATTCTAACCAAACGCCATTTTTATGCATTTATGACAAGTTTTCCCGACTTCCGGTTTCACCGGAAATGACAGCAACTTTTGATTTTGAAATGGCACACCCTGTATATTTTTTGTTTTTCGGATTCTACAGATCGTTTTACATCCTAATGCACCACTTTTGAATCGATTTTTGTCCAAATTTTATTTTTAAATTAAATTTTATTTTTTTAACTAGAGTGCCATGATCATCCTAAAATGACTCTACATACTTTACTTAATTTCAGAAAAATACAAACTCAATTTTATCTTTGTAAACTTTTTTGATAGAGGGCTGTAAACTCCATTATTTCAGTATTTTTGCCCTAGCTCAAAAAATAGAATAGAAACATATCACTTTCATAACATTACTAAATACAGTATTTTAAAGCGAATCCAACGATATAATACACTACGACATTTTTCTCAATTTTCGTTCATATACTTATTTTTGTAGGTAATTTTTTTTTCTAATTAAAATTTAATTTGAAAACGAAATTTGGACAAAACTCGATTTAAAAGTGGTTCATTAGGACGTAAAACGATCTGTAGAATCCGATAAACAAAAAATATACAGGGTGTGCCATTTGAAAATCAAAAGTTTCGGTAATTTCCGGTGAAACCGGAAGTCAGAAAAAGTTGTCATAAATGCATAAAAATGGCGTTTGGTTAGAATATCAACCCTACCAAATTTCGTTGATATCGATGAACAAATAAAAAAATGGCAGCCGGAAAGTAATCTCGTGGGCACCCGGTATATTTGAAATGAGAAAAATAGGGGTGTTTCAAAAATTGATTTAAATATAGGTTAGGTATACTTTCGAGACAATTAAGACAACATAGCGAATTTATAAGATGTTGATTTAGCCGATACTTGATAGAAATCTATTGAAAATTTTGAAAGGAAACTCTGGCTGGAGAATAAGTCGGGTCAGTTAAGTTAGCCCCCCCCATAGAAAATTTCTGGATGAAAATTATCCCATAATTTTGCTCTCATTTTGCTCCATTTTGCTCCACTAATTTCGATTTTTGCTCCATTACAGTGGAGAGACTATGTGGCCTATTAGGTGGGGGGGGGGCTGAATTAACGCTAGCCCCCCCCCCCAGTGAAAATTCAGAAATTTGATCATGCTCATTTTGTTCTCCGAGTTTTGCTCCATTTTGCTCCACTATCGGCGAGTTTTGCTCCATTACCAGGAGAGACCTACAGAGCTTCCAAGAATCTCTCCCAGCCCCCCCCCCGGTGAAAATTTTGAAATTTGATCATGCTCATTTTGTTCTCCGAGTTTTGCTCCATTTTGCTCCACTATCGGCGAGTTTTGCTCCATTACCAGGAGAGACCTACAGAGCTCCCAAAAATCTCTCCTAGCCCCCCCACCGGTAAATTTTTTTAAAAATTTGAACATGTCCATTCTGTTCTCCGAGTTTTGCTCCGTTTTGCTCCATTATCGGCGAGTTTTGCTCCATTACCAGGAGAGACCTACAGAGCTTCCAAGAATCTCTCTCAGCCCCCCCCCGGTGAAAATTTTGAAATTTGATCATGCTCATTTTGTTCTCCGAGTTTTGCTCCATTTTGCTCCACTATCGGCGAGTTTTGCTCCATTACCAGGAGAGACCTACAGAGCTTCCAAGAATCTCTCCCAGCCCCCCCTGCCGAAAATTTTGAAATTTGATCATGCTCATTTTGTTCTCCGAGTTTTGCTCCATTTTGCTCCACTATCGGCGAGTTTTGCTCCATTACCAGGAGAGACCTACAGAGCTTCCAAGAATCTCTCCCAGCCCCCCCCGCCGAAAATTTTGAAATTTGATCATGCTCATTTTGTTCTCCGAGTTTTGCTCCATTTTGCTCCACTATCGGCGAGTTTTGCCCCATTACCAGGAGAGACCTACAGAGCTTCCAAGAATCTCTCCCAGCCCCCCTCGGTGAAAATTTTGAAATTTGATCATGCTTATTTTGTTCTCCGAGTTTTGCTCCATTTTGCTCCACTATCGGCGAGTTTTGCTCCATTACCAGGAGAGACATACAGAGCTTCCAAGAATCTCTCCCAGCCCCCCCCCGGTAAAAATTTTCAAATTTGAACATACTCATTTTGTT